CAGCGGGTGACTGGCTTGTGCCATGCCAGGGGCAGGGTCTGCTGGCTGGGGGCTGGTAGGGTTACACCTGGCACACGCACCGTAGCCAGACCGTGCCCCTTTAAGGGCTCCGGGGCCGGGAGGGGGGCAGAAGAGTTTCCCTGGTGGTGCCCAGAGTGGCCACCAGGGAAAGCTGGGGAGGGCTAGCCTCCCACTAGTTCGAATTAAGTAGCTACACAGCCCTTAATTCGAACTACTTAATTCAAACTAGGCGTTAGTCCTCGTAGAATGAGGTTTACCTAGTTCGAATTAAGCGCTCCGCTAGTTCGAATTAAGTTCGAACTAGCGGTTTGCCTGTGTAGCGCCTATGAAAGTTAATTCGAACTAACGGCTGTTAGTTCGAATTAACTTTTTAGTGTAGACATACCCTTAGGGTGTATCTACACAGCAAAGTTATTTCGGAATAACGGCAGTTATTTCGGAATAACGGCTGTTATTCCAAAATAACTATGCGAATGTCTACACAACAATTCCATTATTTTGAAATTATTTTGAAATAACGGATGGCTTATTCTGACTTCTTTACACCTCATTTTATGAAGAATAATGCCTATTTCGAAATAAGGCATGTGTAGATGGTCCATTTCTGCTATTTCAAAATAGCCCCTCACCAGGGCCATTCTAAGTTATTCCGCCTGGGGCTCTAAATCAAGATAGCACATCTACATTAGAGAAGCCTGCCTCAGACTAATTTTGAGGCTTTCCTGCAGGGTACACGTGCTATTTTGAAATAAGCATTTCGAAATAACTATTCCAGAGTAACTGTGCAGTGTAGACGTAGCCTTAAAGACCTCCAAATAGCTCAGCCAAATGTTCATGCATAGGTGATTTCACAGTTTCCCACCTCCAATGCTGTCAACTGATGTGGTCAGAGCTCGCTCAGAGTAATCACCTACAGTGTTGAGGTGTTTCATTGGCCCTTTAGATCCTAGGATCCTCAACTGAGCTCATCAGCTCAGTTGACTGAAGATGGCAAATTTATTATGGGGATACCTGCCACAAGACACTTTACATCAGCCAGCGAACCATCGCCTTCAGCTGGCTACTGAACTTGATCCACAAAGACAAGATGATGCCATTGAGTCCGTCAAATAGCCAATACAAAGAGAGTGCCAATCTGTTCCGTTCAGATTGTAATGCCAATATTGTGTTCCTCTACTATGCCTGTTGACGCCTAATCAGAAGCATGCCAAGATTCACAACTACTCATGAGCCTCTAGAGGGAGCCAAACACAGCCAAAGAGTAATGGGTAGAGGGCAGGGAGATGCATTGCTGAGTTTTTGCCGCTCCCTTTGGTGTCCCTGGAATGCCTCATCACTTCTGAAAACCAGCCCCCAGTGTTTGCCCCCGTTCGCCGGTCACCTGGCATGGATGAAACCACCATGATGCTGCCTCTGCTGTCTTTCAGCCTGAGCAATGCCGAGATCGTCATCATGGTGATGTAGCTGAGAAAGTTAATCCTCAGAAGCTACTGCACGTGCTCCACAACCCCATCAAAATAGTTGAAGTACAAGTTGCTGATATGGTTGAGGATCAGCATGTCAAAGCCTCCTGGAATCAAAGGGGAGAGCCAGGCATGGTTTAGTTTTGGGTGGAAGAGAACTGAAGGAAATTCAGAGCACACTGGTTGTATAAGCTACATATCCTTTCCTACCGTCACTCTGAATCTCTGCGGGAACCTATTCCTGGGAATGAAATGAGTTGTTTATTGGTGGTGGTGGTAGTAATATATAGTCTATCTTTTTTAGAGAGTTTGTCTGATCAAGAACTCCTCCTAAATGCTAAGAACTAGGACCACCAAATTTGACATACAGCTTCCTCTTCTCCTAACTTAAAGCAATGTAAGGGCTTGGATGTGCCTGGAATGGAATTGTTTCTCTTAAAACTTTACAGAGAAGAGAGAAAACAGAGACATTTGGAGTACTGCTCCGTTTAGGTACAGCTAAAGCAATTCTTAAGGTTTGAAAACTGACTAGGGTCCTTTTTTGTTTAAACTTATCATTCACTATGTTTTTACGGCCAAAGAAAAAAATACACTTCATGCAATTCCTATTTTTAAAAAATTACTAAAGATAACTTCATAAAAATAAAACTATTTTTGAAAAATACAACCATTTCAATAAATCATTTACATATTCCTTTCATTTAAAAAAAAACAACCTTAATTGAGTTAAGGATCCAAGCAACACTGGATAAATCTGCTAGTATTAAATAAAGCCACATAATGGTTTATGGTTGAATAATTATTGAGAGCGCTGTTGTGTCCAAATCTCACTTTGGACAAACGGCATGCGTGTGGCAATACCAAATTGTGATTTAATTTGTGTATATGTGCTAATGAATGTATTTGGTTGAATTTTGAGCTAAGAAATTGTATCAATAACTAGTATTCTTTCATAAAAATGATTTAAAAATACTAAAAAAATTAATTCTAACATATTCTGCTATATTTTGGTAATGTTTACCAATAAAGAAATGTCATCAGCTCTGTGAATAATTTCAGAACTTTTCCCTGTGACTCTGTATTCCTATTTAGAGGTGAAGGAGTTTCCATTTCCTTCACAAATTTTTGAGAGAGTATGTATTACTTTGAAGTGAGGGATAGATTTTGGGATGGTTGGTTATCCAAATTCACTCCTGGATTTAATGTATTTATAATAGCTGCAAGTTCTAAATCATTGAGTCAAAAAAGTGGATTCATCATTTGTAATATTTCAGAGGTAGCAGTTTTAGTCTCTAATAGAAACAGCTTGAACACCGGATAGTCCTGCAGCACCTTAGACTATGTACGTTTTTTGTTAGTCTCTAAGGTGCTACTAGACTATTTGTTGTTTAAGTTTTCACATATAATATTGGTTATTAAGGAATTAAATATTTAAGAGTTGGAATACTAAAACTAATGCATCAAATATTTACTAGTTAATTGTTTTTTGGTTATGACTTGGATAATATTTTGGTGGCTTTTCATATTTTTTGCCTTTAGAAAAGTTGAGAGTCAAACACTGTTGTTTACAGCTTGCATAGCTTCAATGAAGTCTTTTAAGTCACAGTTGTAAATTGAGGGAGAAATGGGCTTTAAGATGACTGTTGGATTCTTATTGGTAAAAATTTATGCTGTGATTTCAGTTTTTTAATTAATAGAACTTTTTGTTCTTTTAGGGACCAACACTTGTACAGCAGTGATCCCTTATATATGCCAGAAGAAAGGACTCTCGTCACTGAAACACAGGTTATCAGGGAAACTCTTTGGTAAGCAGGAATCTGACATGCTTTCATATTTTATTTAAAATTAAAATTATTTTTAAAAAAAACTTGCACCGTAACCTAAAAGTGTTTTAGGCTCTAGGAAAGAGATTTGTAGTTGGATTTCAGTGCCAGAAAACAAATATTGCTATGTCCTTTTTCTAATCTGTGCACCATCACCAATATTAAAGATGCACAAGCCAGAAAATAAGCCAGTTTACATTTTCATATAGCTGTATTAGCTCTGCAGTACAAAACACTTACTTTTTGAAAGGACTCGGTACACAAAGAGCAGATTTGTTGAGGAAAAAGCTCAATTCAAGTGATGCTATTAGGTAGGAGGAAACCTCTAAAAGAAAGAGTTGAGACTATGACGGAATGTTCTGTTGGCAATAATATGGTTTACAGTCTTTAGGGCAGCGGTGTGCAACCCATGGGTTGTGGCTGCCTTCCTGGAAGGTCGCACTGCTGGGCTGGCTGCCTGCCATTTTCTTTTCCCGGCTTGGCCCCCAATGCACATGCAAGGCGAGTGGACCAGATCTTCAAATTAAAGGGGCCGCAACAAAATGTTCCTGGAGGGTTTGGGGGGTTTTTTGCCCTGGGGGTTGCGAATTAAAAAAGGTTGAGCACCACTGCTCTGGGGGGCACCATTATTTTTTTTTCAGATTCCCAATAGGGATGTTAAATTTAGTTTAATCAACTAATGGACTAGTCGATGGATTTTCCATCGATTAGTTGATAAGGGGGGAGCCGCAGCAGGGTTAGCTCCCCACACTGGGAGCTAACCGCACTGCTTTTCTGATTTTTAAATGTATTAAGAGTCGTCAGGCTCTTAATACATTTAAAAAGCAGAGGCATAGCATCTGGGACTGGGTGTGAGCTGGGAGGCAGTGCTGGGGGGAATCGGCTTTAAGCTGG